TTTATCTAAAAAAATATTTTGAAATAATTTGCGAAATATTGCGAAATATTTTGTGAATTATTTCAATTTTGAGTTTTCGAAACTTTTCAAAATATCTTGCGAATTATTGTGAAATTTTGTGTGAAATATTTCAAATTTTTGATTTTGCGAAAGTTTTCAAAATATTTTGCGCAATATTGCATTATTTTTGTGTATCGCAAATTTTTGCGCAATATTTTGCACATATAAATTTACTGATGATAGAGAGGTCAGACTGTATATATATTTTTATCATTCGCAAGTTATAGAATAGAATTTTTTTTACAAGAAAGGGAATTCTACCTTTTTGAAAATACACGGTCTTTTATTATAATAAATTGATTGACAAAATTTTAAAAATCTTACTTAGTAGGCCAATCATATAATGTAACACCTCAATCAAAATATTGCTTTCGGAATTCGCACAATTCGAGAGTTCGGTTTGACCAATTTGACTGATTCGGTCCAAGGGTTTGATGTTGGTCAGACCAGTTGTTCAGAGACCCTTTGACCATTGACTGGCAAATTTTTCGATTTGACCAACTCTGGAAACATAGTAAATTTATATAATGATATAATCGCCTTTCTTCTCCTAGAACCACTGATTTTATTATAGAAAAATAATTTACAATATCATTACAGCATAATCATTTTATTGTCTCCGTATAGACGAACCATACTTATCGTGTGTCATAAAATAAATACGGTAGAATTTTAACGGATTTTGATATTCTTCACCAAAGCAAAAACAGGAACCACTATGGTTCTTTTATCTTTGAAATAAAAGAAACCCAAAAAATTTTGTTTTTTGCCGGAGAAGTTATTACGAAAGTTGAAATCTATTTTGAATGAGCATCCAAATGATAAACGACAATGGAATCTGTGGGACAAATAAAGCACGTGTTTTCAACCTAATCGTCACCTGATACTATCCAATTAAGGATATATAAAAATGAAAATTCCGAGCCAAGTTTTCTTGGCGACTGTCGCAAAAAAAACTAATCATTTTGGAATTTTACGTTTATGAATATGGATTCGTCTCCTCCTCCACCAGGATCAGTACAGGAACCAACTCCTTTATCGGACGCTGAAAAGGTAAAAATAAATAATCTGCTTTTAAAGAAGAATTGCCAAAATATACATTGCATTTTATTAATATCCCGATTTTCATTTTAGATACGTTTAAAGCGTCTTGCAAAGCTACAACAAGGAAATTCTAATAATTCTGGTGAATCCTCTCAACCCACTGCGTCATCGTCTAAAACAGTGTCTGCGCGGACGAATATTTTGCCAAAAACGCCTACGCAAGAAAAACCTGCATCGCCGATCAAAAGATATTCGCTACCTGTTAATCAAGAACTTCCTGAGAAGGTATGGCCTTTATTATTTTAGAATTCTCCCATTTGATAGTATACTTTGTTTATAAGGAATTACTGTTCTTGTACGGCAAAAAATCTAGAATTATAATCCGCAGTGCATTTATACCAGTTTATAGCAAAAATCTTGATCGGTTATTCCGATTTAGATTTTTATGCTTGAATTTTATAAATTTTATAATCCTTCATATTTCTTATGAATCTTTAAAAACTCTGCCTACTGTTTCCACCATAGACTCCTCCCAAAATTTCACCACCAATTAAATCATTTGAAGACTGGCAAAATGATACCATCACCAGAATTCTTCAAATTACCCTTGATGTAAGTTGATCGTTATATAATTGGATTAGAACGTTCCTTTATGATCTTGATAACTCACGCTTATTACTTATTCGGTAAAATTTTTTTTAATTATCAAAGAAATCAATGGCCGAAAAAAATGGAAATCGATTGATTTATCTTGATTCTGTTGTGAAAACATTAATGGAAGAAAATCCTGGTATTATTCAATATATAACTAGTCATAATACACAATTTAAATGCTAGCAACAATTTCATCGTATGTTATGCTAAATTTAAAATAATTAATAGGAACGGATTCTTTTAAATTGTCAAAATCGACTATTGATAGCGCTCTTTTTGCTCGACTATCTATTGATCCTAATCAAATGAGTGATAGTGACCAGCCCCCTCAGATTCCCTTATTTGATTATCTACTTGACAGTTGGAAAAGGGCTTCCGAAATTAAAAGATCAACACGTGCTTCTAAGGTATTAATTCATAATAGTTATTTTCAGAAAATATTATAATTAATTGTTTCCTTATTGACTAACGAAATTTTGAAATTTATAGACTTTAGAACAATCGGTTATTAATGAGCGAGTTGATGTCATAGATCACCTTAAAGAGCTTATAATTAACTATGTACAATATGTTCTTCTATATCCTAATGACCTTCCACAAGTCAGAAAGTTGGTGTATTTTTATTAATTCATTTGAAATTGGGTTATTATTGATATGCTTTATTAAAACTGTTTATTGAATTGATTTAGCTCTATTGAGCTTGGCCCTAATCAATTCATATCGAGATTAATAGCAGAATTTGATTCTCCTGAAGGATTACCTTTAGATTTCATTAAAGAATTAATAAATAAAATTGATGATGAAGGATTCGAAAAGGTAAAATAAATAATTTATAGTTATTGTATGGGTATGTATGATAACCTAGTTACACACAGGTTCATATTCCGTGCCGAAGGTACGAGATTTATATATGAACCCGTGTGTGTAACTGGATTATTCAATATACCCAGATAATAGCTATCTTATTGCACGGGCTGTCACATAAGACCCGTGCAATAAATAATTTAATAATTGTACTTGTCATCTTAAAACTCAATATATTCATATATTTTTATTAATTTTCTTAGTTGTTTGCGCCTGCATTAATGGGATATGGAGCCCAAATAAGGACAAAAAATATATTAAGCATGGATTATCTGTTACCTCTTAATGTAATATAATACATTATATAATTTGAAATTTTAATCTTATGATATATTTAATTAAATAATAAATTTTATGTTAGTCATTGGTAACCCTATCGGAAATAAAACCATTAGCCGATAAGGTAACGCAAAAAATCGCTTTTAAATAAATATCATAGAATTGTTATTAAATGCATTCAAAAACAGATAACGAAATTACGCAATTGGAATTCACCCAATACGAACGCAAGAATATTTGAAGTCGGTTCATTTTTGGGACCATTTTGTAAATTTTCCGCTTTTCCGACCGACGAGGTTTTTTTTTTTAATTACAGAATTTAAAATCTTTTTGATTAATTTTCTCATTATCTAAAATGGCCTTAATTTCCTTAATTTGACGTATCAGCCAAAAATTGCTGAAAGTTATTTTGCTAACCCCCAGACAAGGAGGCAAGCTGATATTGATTCAGCGATGACGAGTTTAAGAGGTGCTATACGTGGGGTGCAGGTTGATATAAACTTATTAAAAATATTAATTCTTTTATTGATTCCTTTATACACGCTTGTCTAAATTTTCTATTGCTTAATTATATTACGAGCGAATAGCAATCTGTTTTCAAAATCTTCAATAATATTGTTCGTTCCTCACCATCAGCGCGAGAGTCTGCGCTTAGTTATTTTGCTGAGGTCATTAAATTAAATGAGCGGAGGGCTCAGATGCAGGTTAATATCATTGTAAATTTATTTCTCACTCGTTTATTGTTTCAATAATAGATTTTATTTCTATATACTTAATCATTAGGTTGATCCATTCCAAGTTGGATCTGATGGATTCTTAATGAATTTGACGAGTATATTATTACATTTTGCAGATCCCATTATGGATTTGCGGAATCCAAAGGTAATTATTTTCTCTTCTATTATTCATTTAGAATAATGGCTTATTATATATATAATTTTTTTTTTTCAAAGATTGATCGCATAGATGTCGATTATTTTCGTAAATCTAATCGAATTGATATTAGCCGAGAGACCAAAATTAAGGCTACTCAACAAGAAGCAGATGCGTATTTTTCAAAAATAGATGAAAGTGCATCTGGTAAGATTACATTATAACTTTACTTTATTTAGCCTTGAGTAAACCATTGGAATTTTTTTTTTTAACGAAATTTTTGTAACAATAATAGCTCCAAATTTTATATCCGAAATATTTTTCCTTACAATTGCTATGCATCATTATGGTCCATTACATTCCTATGAAGTTTTTAATAATTTTATAAGAGATATAGTAGAGCTTCAAAAACAATATGATCGAATGAGAGCTGATCAGCCTAATTGGGCGGGGGTATATTTATATATTTTAAAAATTTTAAAGTGTTTAGTTCAGTTTTTATGAATGATTATCAAACACTCTTAACATTTTCAATCATTAGACTCCAATGGCTGCAAGAAATGAAGAACTGTTGACACATTGTAAAGTTCGTAATGTTCTATAACCGATCCTCGTTATTGAATTTTTTACTAATTTTAAATAATTATATAATAGACACAACTTGAAAAATATCAATCACACAGAATAGCATATGAGACACAACTTTTAGATCAAGTTTATTTGGATCATTCTCTAAAATTTTATAATCTAGTTATGAATTGGATGCTGAGAATTGTTGACCCTACTGGGAAACATCCGGAAAAACGAATACAGTACATGTCTTTTAATTACATTGAATTACATTTAATTATGTTGAAATTACATTGAATTAAATTGTAATTTAGTTCCTACAATAAATCGATTACAATTATTATACTTATATTAGGTTACCGCTTCCTCCAACGCCACCTGATGCGTTCACCATGTTGCCTGAATTTATTTTTGAAGATGTAACTGAAATATTCCTATTTGTCGCAAAGTAAGTAATTTATAGTTGTTTGTAAAAACGCTGCATAACTACTCTCCTTAACATAAATTTCTTTGTACGTTCAGGTATATTCCGAGAGCGGCTGCTGTATCTCGAGATGACTTGATAGTTTTCATTATCACTTTTCTCAAATCATCATCTTATATTAAGAAACCCTATTTGAAGGCCAAATTAATAGAGGTACGTTATAACTTTATTATTATTTCTCAATTAGTATTATTTTTATAAAGAAACGGATTTGTGAATTAATTTTACTTTGTTATTTTAGATTTTATTCTACTTTACGTTTCGTAGTAATGATCGTGAAGTCGGTATGGTACCATTATTGAATTCACATCCTCTTGCTTTGAATCATTTGTTACCAGCTCTAATGTCCTTTTATGTTGGTAAGAGTCTGTTTTCACAAATCACTTGCAATTCATTTAATCATTACGTTAACATATAATTATTTAAATTATTAGAGGTGGAACAAACTGGTGCACATACACAATTTTATGATAAATTTAATATTCGATATAATATTTCACAAATATTCAAGGCGATGTGGGTTAATCATTTGCATAAAGAAAAATTAAAAGAAGAGAGTCGGTGAGTCTTATCTAACGGTCTTGTAGTAATTATAATACAGAGATGCAAATTTATTATATTGCAAAAGTAATTCAGTAATTATAAATCTGCACCTCTACTAGAATATTTATGATTTCTATATATATATTATATTACATTACATAAATTCATTACTGGTGTATTTATTTATTTTTATTTTTATTTTTTATTAACAGTAACATCGATTCCTTTGTTCGATTTGCAAATTTGTTGATGAATGATGTTACCTATTTATTGGATGAAAGTTTAAGAAAACTTGCAGAAATTCATTCTATACAAACCGAAATGGATAATAAAGATGAGTGGGAGAGTCAAACACAGGTTCGTTAACAAACTTAATTTTTGTCAAACAAATTATAAAAATTATAATATATTGTATTAATCGAAGTGGTATGGTTTTTGCATGAAATAAAATATAAATTTATTAGCAATATCGCCAAGAGCGCGAAAGCACACTCCGATCTGATGAACGATCAGCGACCTCATACATGTCACTTGGGAATGAGACAGTAGAGATGTTGGTATTTATGACTTCAGAAGTTGCGGATCCATTCCTTACACCTCAAATGGTTGATCGATTGGCAGCGATGTTGGACTATAATTTAAAGTCACTAGTTGGACCAAAATGTACCGAACTTAAAGTTAGAAATCCAGAAACATATAGTTTTAAACCTAAAGAATTATTATCGCAATTGGTTAATATTTATTTGAACTTATGTAAACATAAAGAATTTGTACACGCAGTTGCAATCGATCAACGAAGTTATGATAAAAAGTATTTTTCAAAAGCAGTTAGTATTTTATTGAAATGGGGATTAATTTCTGAAAAGAATGTCAGTGAGCTGGAGAAATTTGTTAATGAAGTAGAAGAAACAATTAAATCGGAAGGAGAGGATGAGTTGGGTGAAATTCCAGAAGAATTTTTGGGTAAGTGAATTAATTAACACATTCTTCATAGTTACATTAACTAATGTTATATGATATATTAGATCCAGTTTTGTGTACTATTATGGAAGATCCTGTAATTCTACCCGGATCAAGAGTAACCGTTGATCGAAGTACTATTAAAACACATCTATTAAGTGATACAACAGATCCTTTTAATAGAATGCCATTAAATATTGAGGATGTTATACCAAGTAAGTTAAAACATTAAGATATAAAAGAGAGGAAATATTATCTAATTACATATTTTGATTTTAGATACTGAATTAAAGGAACGCATAGAAAAATTTCTGCAGGAAAAGCGGCAAAAATAACAAATATTTGAATGTGACTTGGTTGTTAAGGTACACACATTTAGATAGTAATAAAACCCTTTTGTTATTATTGTATTAATAGTGACACTTTCTAGCAATTATTGTCTAAGATTTAATTATTTTGTTCTTTTGCGATATTGTATAACAAGTCATGTACAAAAACATTTGAACTTGAATTATATACTTTTTTTTTTTTGTGATTATATTGACATTGCATTATTGCGAATCCTTTGTACATTTGCGTTAAATCTTTTATCGATATATATAGTAAATTCTAACTACGAATAAATCGATTTGTATAAGTAAAATTGTATATAACACATTCGTTATAGTAATTACAATCCGAGTGTTAAATTCAATGATCTCTAAGAAATAAAAATTTTAAGAGTATGTTCTTATGAGAACATTGTTAATAATTCGAATTTCTTCATTGTCTGGTGAACGGTTAAGTGCCCAACTATAAAGCGTTTATTGCTAGATATTTAAATTTTCCGACGGCCGAATGATAAGTTACCGAGTCTATCAATAAATTGAACCTAGTTGCGCACAAAAAATGCGCGTCAATTTGGCCTGCATTACAGCTGTTCATTATTTTTGGGACATTTGAAAAATGGTTGACCGAAAGTTTTTGAAGTCGACCTATGTCAGTAATTTATTGATTCCGACTCGGTAACTTATCGATTCGGCCGTCAAAAATTTTTCAGGTGTCCCAAAAATAATGAAAACAGCTGTAAAGTAATTTAGGCCGATGATTTTCAAATTTGACATCTGGTAAAAAAAAATTGACCGAATAATTATTTGGCCGATTCGGTAAGTTTTTATTCGGCAGTGATAAACTTTGATTATAGCGCTTTGCAAAAAGATGTGACCCCATAATTTTTGTAATGATGAACGAGGAAAATTTCCGAGATTCTAAACTGTCTATTAATTCATATTTTCGATCAGTTATATTTATATTTATTTGAAATTGGTAAGATTCTTAAATCCGATTTTCAAATGATATTGTGATCTGCAAAGGTCACATCTTTTTGCAAAGCGCAATTACAGTGTTATATTATAGATGCAGGCGATGAACTTCTGTTGTTGTATATTATTGGTGGATATAGCGCATTACTGTATTAACGATAAAATAAAATATTATTTCGACATAGCCACGTGATCATCAGAAACTGTGTCCATTTAACATTAATATCTTTAACGTGAATATATTTTGCAAAGATTTTTAATATGTCGTTCCAAGAAGAATATTCTTCCATTTAAAAGCAAATTTAAAGAA